GTTATTTATCTCTCAGCTTTCCAAACAGAGCAGCTCAGACCATAGTTATTTACAAAAGAACAACAATTCCCACCAAGAACATGCACTAGGCGACACAGGGAAGGAAAAACTTCCTTTAACCGTACAATGCCAAATGTATCATATTTGATCCATACGGTTTCTGAAATGTTTTGCGTCTGACTCCTTTTGCATAATTTAATGGTAAAAACGTTGCTCAAAATCCTATTGTACACAATCAGATACACCTGATAACAGGGGGCAAAAGACTACACAAACAATAATCTTGACTTATCGCATAGTAATAAATTATTAATATTAAAAATGTATTTCAGTTTTTTCTTTTTACATATTTTGTTAAAAGGCCAAATAAGGAATTCCAACCAAAAAAAAGTAATTTTTGTGTTTTGTTTTCTTCTTGGAACAATGAGAACAAAATCCTTCACGTGGTGAGTTTACTAATGATAATGATAGCAGTAATAACAGCAAAAAGACTAAGAACAGTTAGCCGCAGTTAGCAGTCTAAAGGTCAAAGGTCAGGACCTTACCTAGAGTCGAATAATTTTTATTTATTTTATTTATTTATTTATTTGAATAGGGACAAAGCACATTAATGAACATCAGTATAAAAAGAAATGTGAATATGTATATATTTATGTAAATATCATAGCTACAAAGCTAGTTTTCATCCGTAGTCCCTAGGCAGGCAAATACATAAGAAAGAACATATAATATACAATATAAGCATCACAAGGAAATGTTAAGGGTTTAGTGGTCACATGACTTAGATTTCCCCTTTTAGACGTCTTTAAATCCTCACATGAGGTTTTATTGTTAACGTTTTCTAAACTCCCTCTCCCAGAGGACGCCGTCTATATGTATATATACAGATCTAAAATAAAGGATAATGATAGTGTGCATAAGAATAAATAAATGCCATTAATTTAGTAATAATTACAGAGAGTTTATGGGTTATTTAAGGCAGTTTTAGCCAGAAAAAAAGCAGAATGAGTTTATTTTCCCCCGGTGAATCGAAGCTGTCATTTTCCCAATAATGCAGCCAAACCAACTTAGATTTCCCCTTTCAGATGTTTTTAAATCCTCACATAAGGTTTTATTTTGGGTAAACTCTCTGTGTGTTCCTGACTAAAAAGGGAATTCCCTCTCTCAGATCTAAAGTAAAATAAGTGATAATGATAGTGTGCAGAAGTATAAATAAATGCAATTAATTTAGTAAGAATTACAACAGTTTCTGGGTTATTTAAGGCAGTTTTAGCCAGAAAAAAAGGAGAATATAATATACAATACAGTGGTCTGCAAATTGTTTAAACAATTAATGCACAGTTCCTGCAAATGGCATAAACTTCGTTTCACTTCTCAAATATCACTGTGTTTGTCTCCTATAAGATGTATTTAACTGATTTTTTTTATCCTAAGAACCAACGTCTTATGAAGGAAAATCATGGAAATTAACAAGGTTGCTCAAACCTTTGTAGACCACTGTATACATCACAAGTAAATTTTAAGAGTTTACTCTTAATCCCAGCAGACATTTTGATATGTCCGACACGGGGGCGACTAATAGCACGGCTAATTTCTGGAACAGAGCCCTGCTCCATCCTGTTAGTTTCCTGTTTGGACAAATTGACTCGTCTTTTTTGAGGAGGACCTTTGAGTCCAGCTCATCGGGGACTAAAAAACAGGCTCAAACTCTCGTTTATTCAGCAAAATGACGCATTAAGTGCAAGATGGAGCGATTTTTTTTTTGGTACAGGTGAGAAAATAAGAAGTGGAAGTGCTTGCGGGACAAATCTTTTAATAGGCTGCCGAGCAATAGTTCACAATAAAAGTTTTTTCCCCAAAAAGTTTGGAGACGTCCAGAAGCCCAGTCAGCAGTTTTTATTCCAGGGAAATAACCCCTGAAAGATGCCTGCAGCCTGGTGGTGTCTGCCAAGGAAAATTGTTCCTCTCGGGAGGCAAAATTGATAGTGTTTTAGTCTTATTCCTTTAAAAAAAAAGGGAAACCTTCACCGGTGTTATGGAAATGCAGGTTTCTGCACCT